CCTCATTATCTTGATCCATTAATTCAGTAGATATTGATGAGCTTTACATTTGGCACCTAGACTCTGGCTCTGTCTTGGGAAAGAGACTGGAGGAGAGAAAGGGTCATACTGTTGTCCAGAAGAGGGTGGTCCTGGCCCTGTGTGGCAGTGGAGGGCAGGGGTCCTTCCATCGGAGCTGGCTGCCTCTCTCCACTATGCACAAGGCAAGCACAGGCCCTCTTTATAGGAACTCCCAGGAGAAGACCTAAGTTAAATTATCTCTGGCCCAAGCCACATCTAGCATAGGGACTGGCATGCAAGGCTGCTCACCTGCTCTCCTTGCCCTGGGCCTGTCCCTGGTCCCTCCCATTTTCCTCTGCCCTCAGTATTATTTGGGTTTGGAGGACCAGAGAGTTCTTAGGCTCACATGAGTGTAAGATACAGAAAAAGCTCTCTTCTATAGGAAGACATAACCCTACCCTCTGTCCTGGGGCAGGGAGCATTTCCCTACAGCTGTCCAAGTGGAGAGGAACTGTTGACAAAGTCTTGGTGTTCAGGCTACAGGAAAAAACTCAGCCAACCCCCCGGCCCAGGTCACATGCATGCTGGGTGTTCTTCTGCCTCCCCCTTACTGTCACACTGAGCCAGACCATCTGCTTCTCTCCATGTCTACTCCTTCCATCCTGGGCCAGCCACCTTCGGCCTTCCCCAACTAGTGTGCTGGTTCTGTCCCAGTCACCCTGCTGTACTTGGCCTCAGCTGTTCACCTGCATTCAGCCATGTAATCCTCACAGTGGGCCCATGAGAGCAGGTGCTGGGGTGAGGGTGTCTTCACAGTGGAGGCCACTGAAGTGCGGAGATGTGGTCAGCTCAGGAGATCCCAGACTCCTCCCTCCCAGGGCCTCCAGTTGTCCCGTTGTGCCCTTCTCCTCCACTGGTCCAGCTACACTGGCTCAGTCTGTGAATGTCCCAAGTTGGTTTTCTGCCTCTGGATTTTCACTTGCTGCCTTTCTTCTGGAAATGCTGCTCTTCTCTCCTCCTGTTTTTCTGTCTCAACCTACTTGTCCACATTCACATTTCACTTCTAATGTCATTTCCTGGAGAGGTTCTCTGTGATCATTTCAATCTAAATTACACCTCATTCTCTGTAATTTTTTTCTCTTCACCCTCAGGATGTCTTTTAATTACAGATTTCTATGTATGGTTGTGACAGGCAGCAACAGGGGTAGTTAAGAGCTTGGGCTCTGCAGCCAGGCACTTCAGTTGGAATTCAAGCTTTTCCACTTCTTGTTTTTGTGGCCTTGAGCAGGTGATTCATCCCCTGTGCCTCGGTTTCCCCATCTGCAAAAAGGGGATAATGGCACTGCCTTATAAGGTTGTAAAGATGATCAAAAGGGTCAGTAGGTGTAAAGTGTGTGTCAGCCTGCAGTAAGTACTATAGAGGTGTCACCTATTATTACATTGTTTTGGTGAGGACTCAAGAGGAAATTGCACGTGTGCTGTGATCCAGAGCCAGTGATGGAGCAGCAGTTCAGATAATGCATGGCTTCTGTGTGCTCCCTCTGGTATTCTAGACCAAGGCTGGACTGTGGTCTCCTTTATAAATGGGGATAATGAAGGACCTATGAGGGGGAAAAAAGGTGCTGTGATAACTTGGGGTCAGGAAAAGAGTTGTGGGCTAGGGAAAAGAGTTGGGTAGGGTCAGGCCCATGGCACTGGGGATTATATGTCTTTCAGTTCTTGTTGTGGGATGCTCATGTCACTTCCCTGTTGCTGTTATTCAGTAAATGGCTGTTGAATAAAAGAATGAATGAGGCACACTTGGCTCCACTCTGGTTCTGTCCTCCTCCAAAATAGCACCCCTCATGTTATGGGTGGTCTCTGGGCGAATAGACAGTTTATGCCACAGGTTTCGTAGCAATTTGTGCTGAGGAGAAAGGCGATCTGGGAGGCATTCATCTGGGCAGGATATGTTGGCTGAGTGGGGCCATTGTGGTCAGAGGAGGCCGGCAGGTCACTTCTGTGAGTGAGTAAGGCTTGGCTTGGGAGTGCTTCCCTGTGACTGGAGAACAGGAATGGTAGGATTTAGCTGGGATTGAAGAAGATGGGCAGGGGTTGTGGGATTGGCTGTGGGTGTCAAAATCATAGTTCCTGTTTCTGATTCTCTTCTGTGTTGTAGATCCTGGGTCAAGCATTTCACGAGTTGTCTCATTTAATCCTCGTGACCCCACTGTGTAGCAGAGACTTCTTGTTTATGTTTTTCAGATGGGAAAACTGAGGCTCAGAGAGGTGAGGTCACATGCCCAAGGCCCCACAGTTAGAGAGTGGTAGAGCCGGTACTGACCTCAAGGTCTGTCGGACTCCGCCACCTGGCTCTGTGCCTCTGCCACTGAGCCAGCCTTGTGTGGCCTTGGATAGGTGCTGCTTCTCCCAGTCCCCTTGTTCCCTAGCCCTCCCTGATGGAAGCATGGTCAGACATTCATAGGCGTCAAGGATGTGAGCCCAGAGTTCTTTTCTGGTCCTTAGGATGGAGGGAGCCAGATCTGAATGGGAGGTTTTGGAGGCTGAGGCCAAGTAGGTTTCCCTGGGCCTTGAACAGAGAGGATGAGGCTCCCCTTGAGGCAGAAAGAGGAAGGGCTTGGGGTTTGAGTGGCAGGAGGAAATGGGTGGTGCTGAGAAGTCATCTTGGGGAGCAGGGACCTTCCTTCTACTTGCTGCTCTGCTACTCACATGGTCTGTGAAAGGTGAAGGGAGTCTGGGATATGACGCTTCCCCTCCCAGAGCTTCAGGCTCCTCATCTGTCATATGGATTGAATGTGGCCCCCTCCCCACAGGGCTATCCTGCTGATCTTACTGGATCCCCAGAGGTAAAGTAGTCAGCACGTTGGAGCTGTTGGAGGCTGCCATTCTTGGAGCACCCGTTGAGCACTTTGCCAGCTAATTTCTATTTTTTTAAAATTAAGATCTTATTGATTTATTTTTTTAATTGATTTCAGAGAGGAAGGGAGAGGGAAAGAGACAGAAACATCAATGATGAGAGAGAATCATGGATAGGCTGCCTCCTGCATGCCCCACACTAGGGATTGAGCTTGCAACCCAGGCATGTGCCCTTGACTGGAATCGAACCTGGGACCCTTCATTCTGCAGGCCAACACTCTATTCACTGAGCTACACCAGGTAGGGCTGATTTTACTGATGTTTTAGAAAGAGGAAGGGATTGAGAGAGAGAGAGAGAGAAACATCAGTGGGTTGCCTCCCATATGTGAGGGATTGAACTCAACACCTGGGCATGTGCCCTGACTGGGAATCAAACTCACTACCTTTTGGTGAACAGAACAATTCTCTAACCAACTGAGCCACACTGACCAGGACATATTCTTTGCTCTTTTTAATCCTCTAACGGCCCTTCACAGCAGAGATTGTCCCCTGGTTTAGGCAGGGACCTGGGCTCAGAGAGGTTGTGACTTGTGCCAGGTCACACAACTAGTGCCTGGATTGGAATTGGTTCCATTGACCTGAAGCTGCTCTCTGGGACATGGGAGATTCAGCAACATCTCTCACGTGCTGCCACTTCTGGCCATGTGACCTTGGGCAAGTCTGTGCACTTCTCTTTGCCTCCATTTCCTCATCTGCTCAGTGTGTGTGTGTGTGTGTGTGTGTGTGTGTGTGTGTGTGTGTGTGTGTGTGTAGGGGCGGGGGGCCGTAATAGGATCTGCCTCACAGTGTTATTTGTGGATTCAGTGACTTCATAGGAGCCTACCACTTGGAGTGGCCCCTGCAGATAGTCAGTGTGCTGTGGTATGGATTGCTGTTATTTATAGTTTATAGCTGGTCCTCAGGACAACCTGGGCCATTTGTGAAGAGGAGGTTCTGTTAGTAGCCCCATTTCACAGGTGCAAATTCAGTAATCCTAAAGGAAGGCGATGTGCCGAGGTCACATTTATAAGGATCACCTTAGAAGTTCCATGTCCTGTCCACTGCAAAGAACTGCCATTTCATTTGGGTGGATGAGGGGAGGGTTGTAAGTGACAGAAACTCATATAAGCAGAAAAGAAAGTGCCTCATGTGATGAGCTCGGGAGTCTTTCCCTCTATCGTTGGCTCTGGGTAGGCTTTATTTTTCTCCCCTCCTGGGGGCAAATTGGCCAGCAGTCCCAGACTTACAGCCCCCCATCCTAGCAGCTTCTGTGGAAAGAGAGCACCTGGTTCCAATAGAGTCAGTCCATCCGCAGCCTCAAGTCTTCTGGGTCTGGTGCTTGCTTGGTAGGTGCAGGGTAGGGGATGTGGTTGGCTCCCCATGAATCTCAATTATTTGAAGGCAAGAGAGGGGTGAGGCTGGTTGCCTAAAGGCAAGTTGTTCATGCATTGATTCCTTCACAAATATATATAAGTAACTACCATGTGCCATGGGCTATACAAGTGAACAGAACAGACCAAAATCTGTTTTTTACATTGTGGGGATATGGGTGATAAGCATGACAGGAGGGGAAGCATAGCTTAGGTGAGAAGGCGGTGTAAACACCTTGGGAAGAATGAAGCAGGTATGGGGATCTGGGAATGCTGGGGGCCAGGGTGGTGGTTGTAAAGTTTAAAGTGGGATGGTTGCGGTGGGCCTCTTTGGGAAGGTGACATTTGAGCAAAGACCTTGAAGGAAGTGAGGGAGCAAGTCCTGTGAAGACTGGGGACAGAGCGTCCCCCGCCGACAGAGCATGCCTAGCAGTTTTGGGAGGGGAGCAGCAAGGAGGGTGGTGAGGCTGGACTGGGGCATGTGAGGGGGAGGAAAGGGCACCAGGTCAGGAGGTACAAGAGGCCAGACCAGAGGAGGGAAGCTGTGTGAGGGTGTCACCCATACTTGGGTGTGGTTTCCAGAACTGGGAAGGATGTGGGTTAGATGCTGTGCAACCCACAGGGTAGTGGGAGGAGCCTGCAGAGGAGGCTCAAGTGAGGGAGGAGGAGTGGCGGTCCCCCTGAGCATTGTATTGGATATCAGCCCCTCATTGACCAGTCCCTCTTTCTCCATAGACATCCGGCTCAGGGTGCGAGCAGAGTACTGCGAACATGGGCCAGCCTTGGAGCAAGGTGTGGCATCTCGGCGGCCCCAGGCGCTGGCGCGGCAGCTGGATGTGTTCGGGCAGGCCACAGCAGTGCTGCGCTCCCGAGACCTGGGCTCCGTGGTGTGTGACATCAAGTTCTCGGAGCTCTCCTATCTGGACGCCTTCTGGGGGGACTACCTGAGCGGCGCCCTGCTGCAGGCCCTGCGGGGCGTGTTCCTGACTGAGGCCCTGCGTGAGGCCGTGGGCCGGGAGGCTGTCCGCCTGCTGGTCAGTGTGGACGAGGCTGACTATGAGGCTGGCCGGCGCCGCCTGCTGCTGATGGAGGACGAGGGGGGACGGCGCCCAACGGAGGCCTCCTGATCCTGGATCTGGCGAGACTGACCCCACCTCCTAGCCTCTGGGCCACCTTTACCTCAGGAGGATGAAGACCGTCTGCCCCTAGGGGACTGTCACTCCAGCAGCTCTGACTGAGACAGACAGACAGATGGCCAGGTCCCCCTGACAGCCTGGCGCCTTGACAGCTCCTCTGACAGGATCTGGGCTCTGAGGCCTAAACCACTTTCGCTGAGTTTCCTTCCCAAGCCCCCTCCTCCCAACATCACCCTCAAGTGTGTCCCTTCAGCCCCAGCAGGTCAGGGCCTCGGGCATGCAGGCCCCAAGGGAAGGAGGCAGCCACACAGTCACCAAAGGCCCCTGCACATCATGTTCACTACCCTGGGTTGTGTGCACACATTGCGCCATGGAAGTCTCCTCTGGGCTCCCACCCTGTCCTGCTCCACACAATTCTTTGGCCTAAGGGCTTTTCTCAGGATCTCTGATTTTCTCGCCCTAACCCTGGGCTTCAGCCACACTAGGCACTGGAGCTGGGGCACACATGGGACCTGCTCACTTTGCCCACACATCTCTACAGCCAGCCAGGGCTCTACCCACCTTCCACACAGACCTGGCCCTTCACCTTACCCTGCTCCCCAGAGTTGGACACGGACTTGAACAAGGACTATCCCCAGAGTGTCTCATGTGTGTTGCCAGCAGGATCAGACCACGTGTGCTGCTGTTGGCCATGGACCAGGACCAGAAGCCAGCTGCCTTCTCAGAAAGGGAAAGGCAAAGGCTTGGGGGCTGATGGGAAAGGTATTTTATAAATGGCACCAATAAAACTGCCCTGGAAGGGGCATAGGTGGGCATTAAGACTCCCTGGGACTCTTTCTTAATGGGCTGGTGGAAGGAGCTGATGGGGGAAGCCTGGGCCTAGTACCAGTCCTGGAGTTGCTGGCCCAGTATCAGGCTGGAGGGTGAGCAGGATGCTGGGTCATCTGCAACTTGCCACCACAGGCTTGCTGTCCTCTCTGGGCCTCAGTTTCCTTATCTGTCAGTTTACTGCTTGGAGTCACAAACTCTCCCAGTCCCATTCACACATACTTTGCTCCTGGGGAGTGTGTTTTTAACTTGTTCAGTGCCATAGGCCATCCATCTGCAAGGCTGATGGAGCTCAGAGGTTTGGAAACGAAACAGATCAGCAGCCAGGCTTCTCTGCCTAGAACCCCTCTCCAGGTGGTTCCCTACCTATCACACCTAAACAGTCACCTCCTCAAATGTGGGTCTGTTCTTCCTCTTCCTGAGGCCACACTTCTTCCTGCCACCCTGTGGCCTCAGGAGGTTGTGGCCTCCTCCTCTTGCCCCATCGTTTGTTTATGGGCTTAAGAACTCAAGTTTCTTACACCATACCCAGGGTTTTCCTTCCTGCTGGGGAAGGGAAATAGGACTGGAAGCTGGGGGTAAGGTGGGCAGGGACTCCCATTGTTGTCCTTCCCTGGGTGAAGGGATGGACTTGTCCTGGACCTTTGACCTGTGTTGTATCGAGGATCAAGTCCTATCTAAGACCTGGTCCAGCTAGCTATGTGACCCCAGACTGTCCCTGCACCCTCTCTGGGAGAGAGCTAAGGCCTACTGAGCACCTACTTAAGATCTATTTTTAAATATATTTTTTTATTGATTTTTTACAGAGAGGAAGAGAGGGATAGAGAGTTAGAAACATCTATGAGAGAGAATCATCGATCAGCTGCCTTTTGCACACCCCCTACCAGGGATGTGCCCACAACCAAGTTTACATGCCCTTGACCAGAATCGAACCTGGAACCTTTCAGTCAGCAGGCCGACGCTCTATCCACTGAGCCAAACCGGTTTCAGCTACTTAAGATTTAATAGTCCCCTAAGTGAAGTAAGGATTTGATACCACTTTGACAGTGAATGGGCTCTGAGGGGAAGTGACTTGCCTGGGACAAAGCACTGACATGGGAAGTAGCTCTCCCCCAGAGGACCAAGTTAGGGTGGGGAGGGAGACCAGAGCTTCTGCGCTCTTTATCCTTCACTTGAGCTATGGGACACTCCTTGGCTTTTGAGGACCTTCCCAGATTTGGGTCTCAAACTTTACCTGGAACATACTGTACTTAAGGATGAGAACTGCTGCCTGTTGGCTGGACTAAATTCCAGGTTCCGCTTCTCCCTCAGGCCATGGTGCCTGTCTCTTCAATTCTATGCAATGATGGGCCCCACCAGCCCCTCACAGGACTAGATTGAGGTTTGTCCTCCACTTTAGTTCCATGTGGCAAGTCCCTCCACCGCCTCAGCCCAGCTATTCCTTAGGCCCCTCTCACACACCTCTCTCCTTTAAGTTCCCTTTCCATGCTTCTCGCTGGCACATGCATACATGTGGGAAGTAAGGGATCCTAACTTGAATTTTTTTTTTTTTTTTATTTCAGAGGGATAGAAACATGAATGATGAGAGAGAATCATTGGCTGAAAGCCCCTACTGGGCATTGAGCCCACAACGTGGGAATGTGCCCTGACTGGACCTCCTGGATCATGGGTCAAAGCACAACCACTGAGCCATAATGGTGGGCTGGGATCCTGAACTTTGAGGCCCTGGGAGTCAAGCACATGCACAGTGCGTGCCAGTGGCTGGAGACTTAAGGCAATGTTTCCTGCCTCCAGAGCCTCTCTGAGCCCAGGCATTGTGGAACACTGGGTGTGTGTGTCCCAACAGATCCCCGAGGCCCGGAAATGAGTCAGACCCAGGTCTTAAGGACAACCCATGGAGATCAAAGAGCTTCAGAAGTGGAAAAAGATGTTTGGGCAGGGCCTGAAAAGGCTGCCGCCCAGGGAAATAGGGGACTGTGGGAGCCCAGAGGAAGACGGGCCATGGTTTTACAGAGGAGAAGAGCCTGCTGCTGGCTCTTGAAAAATGAGCAGTTCACCAGAGTTACAGAGAGGGGACATTCCAGGGAGAGAACCTTGCTTACACCTAGGGACCATTCCTGCATGGGATGTGAGAGAGATGGCAGAGTCAAAGGTAAGTGGCAATGCAGTCAGTCCCCCTCATTGCATTTGCAGTCATCTGCTGGCACATGCTGGCAGACAGACATGGTTCTGGCGATGACAACATAAGGTGGAAACATGGGGCAGGCCCATTGTGTCTGGGGCATGGGAGCATAGGTCCCCAAGGCCTCCCGAGGGCCAGGCCCTGGGCTGGTCTCTGCTGGGGACCCTGAGAGGACTCCAGACTGTGCTCTGGCTTCTGTTCTTGTGGGTGAGCCAGACTGGGACACTGAGTTACAGCCCAGAGTGGTCAGTGACTGCACAAGCAGCAGAGGCTGGAGGAGCCCGAGGACACTAATGAAGGGACCCAAGAAGGCTTCATGATTGAGAAGTGCCCTGTTCATTCTATTAGAAATTAATACTACCACCAGCAACATCACTAAGACACCTTTAAAAAAAAAAAAAAAAAAAATATATATATATATATATATATATATATATATATATATGGATTTCAGAGAGGAAGGGAGAGAGAGTGAGAGAGAGAGAGAGAGAGAGACAGAAACATTAATGATGAGAATCAATGATCACTGCCTCCTGCATGTCCCCCACTGAGGACCGAGCCTGCAACCTGGGCATGTGCCCTGACCACAATCGAACCCGGAACCCTTCAGTCTGTAGGCTGACCCTCTATCCACTGAGCCAGACCAGCCAGGGCCATCATTTCTTTCTTTGTAAAAAACATTTTTTTTAAACTATAGATTTTAGACAGAGGAAGAAAAAGAGAAACACCCAATTTCGTTGTTTCACTTATTTATACATTGATTGGTTGATTCTAGTATTCTAGTCCCGGACCAGGGACTGAACCGAAATCTTGGTATTTTGAGACGAGGTTCAAACCAACTGAACTACCTGGCCAGATACTTGACAGTAATAATTTCTTTAACTTTCTAGTTTTACAGCACTTGATTTTATAGTTAATTTTAATCTCTTTTTGCCCTTGACATCAATGGCATAATAAAATATGTTTACTGTTGTGTCTGGTTTCTTTTGCTCAATGTGCATGAGTTTCTTCCATGAGTTTATTTTTAGTTGACTCATTTTTATGAACATCCCTCAAGTAGTCCATGCATTGCCCTGTTGATGGACATTTGGGTTGTTTCCAATTTGAGGCTGTTAGCCAAGTGGTAGAGCCAGGATTCTAACACAGGACTCTTGAAAACGATCTGGTTCTTATCACAACCCAATACTGCCTCCTGTGTTTAAATCCAATAACTTACACTCTGATCCCAGCACCTGCCTTCCAGGCCGGCATGCCCTCGCTACCTTCTCACTTGTAACCTCAACCCAGAGAGAGCTGCACCCCCTTGATCCCTGTGAACATTCCGCTGTGAACATTCTTCTGCATGTTTCTTGGTGAACAAATGCTTCTGTTGGGATGTACCTTGAAGTGGAATTGCTGGACATGGGTTCAAGTGTGTTCAGGTTTGGTAGATACTGCTTGTTAGTTTCCTAGGGCTGTTATAACAAATTACCACAAATCTGGTGGCTTAACACAACAGAAATGTATTTTCTCATAATCCTGAAGACTGGAAGTCTAAAACCAGTTTCACTGGGTCAAAATGGAGTTGTCAAGAGGCCCATGCTCCCTTCAGTGGCTCTAGGGAAGAATTTGTTCCTTGCATCCTATTTCTAGTGGCTGCCAGCAATCCTAGGTTCGTGGCCACATCACTTCAACCTCTGCCTCTGTGGTCACATTGCCTTTCTGTGTCAAATCTTCCTTAGCTCCCTCTCATAAGGATATGTATGTGATTGCATTTAGGGCCTGCCCAAATAATCCAGGCTAATCTCAAAGTCCTTACTTTAATCACATCTGCAGTCTTTTTTGCCACATAGGATAACTCACAGATTCCAGGATTAAGCCATGGACATCTTTTTGGGGGACATTTTTCAGTCTACTATACTCATAAACTTTTTTTCTGAAGTGTTGATATCAGTTTACTCTCCCACCAGGAATGAATGAGAGTTCCCTTACTTCACATCCT